CTTCCCGGCAGCACCCGAGCAAGCGGGCCAGGGAAGGCCATGCGCCTTGGAACACCACGGCATTTCGATGCTTCCACAACTACCAACAGCAAAGGAGGGTGAAGGAGGCGTGGGCAGCATCACCGACCACCCCCCGCACATCCAGAGCTTGGAGAGCACCAACCTGGTAACCCTTACCGGCCACCTCAACGCCCACGGCCAGCCAGAACGAGCGGGCAAGGGGATAGTCGAAGATCAGATGATCCGCCGTCTCGATCACATGCCCGCAGATGGGGCATGTAGCTTCCTCAGCCGTCACAATAGTCTTCCGGAGCAGGACATCTCTCGTGTGAATCCTTCGTTGCACCAGGAGCCACCCGAAGAACCGAACACGAGACGGCGCAGCGCACCCCCAAATGAAGCCGGCAAAAGCGGCCTGCGTGCCGCCGAAGCGTTCCAGGGCGTACACGGCAGCCGTCTTGATGCCCCCGCCCACGCTCCGGCACAGCACAGGGAAGCGTTCGGCATCGCCAGGGGACGCCTGAACCTCTGCGAGCAACGCCAGAAGCGCCCCCCGCTCCGCGCCCCCGGCGGTGGTGAGCCTGGGAACGAGCCCCCGGTCGAGGTCGTGAGTTTGCACCTGCCACACAGTGGCCTCCGTATCCGTAGCGTGCGAAAGAAGGGCAGGGAAGGCCACTGAAACCGTCCCGCACGGCAGCCATCGATCGAACCAGAATGACGTCTGCTGCCCGTCACGGACTACCACCATCGTCAGACTCCGATAGAGCGGCAGCATCTTGGACAGTGACCTGGCGTGCTCTCCGGCCGACCGGAGGCCCGAGGCAGAGAGCAGGGAGCGCCCGCCCAGCCCCGCCCACACCCATGTAGCCCACCGCGAGGACGTGGGCGCCGCGTGGAGATGGTGGAGCATTTTGATCAACAGGCACCGGTTTTGCGTCGCGAGGTCTCGCACGCCGAGGCCCCCCTCCTCCTTGGTTCGGTAGACCCGCTCCCAGGCCAGGAGGCATTGAGCGCCGGTGGCACGGTCAGCAGCATTCCAGAGGAAGGCGCGGCGCAGCGAGTCCATTTTCTTGATCACCGCCGGGGGAAGGAGCATGGCCGCCATCGCGTACGTCGGAAGGGCGTCCAACACCGCGCTGAGCAGAACGAGCCGCCCGGCCGGGGAGAGCAGCCGAGCCCGCCAGCCCGCCAGGTACTTGTCCACCTTCGCAATCATGGGAAGGAAGTCAGCGTAGGTGAGCTTTTCCCACGACAACGGGAGCCCGAGGTAGGCCTGCGGGAACCCCTGGACGGCGCAACCAAGAGTGCCAACGGCTTCCTCCAACACCCCGGCAGGCACGTGCATGGGGACAAGCATGCTCTTGGAGAAGTTGATGTCCAACCCCGTCACGGCCGCGAAGTTGTCGAGGATGCGGCGGAGGCGGGCAGCCGCACCAGGCTCCGCCTTGAGGATGACCAGCGTGTCGTCGGCGTACTGGAGCACCAAAGGGGGTGTCCCATCCACGAGAGGGTGGCGGAGCACGCCGTCTTGGCGGATCATCTGCTGGAGGATGTCGGCGACAATGAGGAAGAGATAGGGCGAGCTCGGGTCCCCCTGGCGCAGCCCGCGGTGTACCGTGAACCACCTCCCCGGAACACCGTTGAGGAGAACCGCCGACCAGGAGGACCGAAAGATCAAGTCCATCTAGGCACACCATCTGTCGGGGAAGCCGCGCACCTCGAGGATTCGCCAGAGGGCCCCCCAGTCGACCGAGTAGAACGCCTTGGCGAAGTCGAGCTTGAAGACAAGGGCGGGGGCGCTACGCTTGTGGCAGCACTGGATCACCTCGGTGGCGTAGACGAAATTTTCGGAGATGCTTCTCCCTGCCAAGAACCCCGACTGGTCGACGTCGATGATGCCCCCGATCTGCAGCTGCAACCTCGAGGCGAGGCTGCGGCACAAGATCTTGACGTCTCCGTTCTGAAGGGAGACGGGGTGGAAGGCGCCAGGCGTTGGCACACCCCCCCCCCCTGGGCAGGAGTGTGATGTACGCCTGGTTGATGGCGTCGAGGTTCGCGGTCCCGGTGTGGAACGCGGCGAAGAGGCGATGAAGGTCCCCGGAGACGGTATCCCAGGCAGCCTGGTAGAACGCGGGGCCGAGGCCGTCCGGCCCGGGCGCACTGGACCGATCAAGCAGGCTGGCCGCATCCTTGATCTCGTCGGGCGAGAACGGAGCAACCAGGGCAGCCGCATCGACCTGTGCGGCGTTGCGATAAAGGGCGGCCAGGTCGAACCGCCAGACGGAAGGACGAGCCCTTCCCAGCAGCTCGGAGTAGAAGGAAAGCAGCGCCTCCGCCTTCCCCGCGTGGTCGAGCACCGTTTCCTCGCCCACGTCCAGGGCACGGATCATGTTGGCTCGACGGCGATGAGAGGCGCTCGTGTGGAAGAAACCGGTGTTTTCGTCCCCTTCGCGGACCGCCCTGCACTTCCCACGCTGCTTCCAGTACGAGCTCTGGCGCCTGATCGAGTCGGCCAGCGCAAGCCTGGAGTCACCTAGGAGCTGCAACTCATCGGAGGACAAGGGGCGGCATTCTTCCCAGAAGTCCACCAAGTCAATCATGAATTTGCAATCATTATCAAAAGCTGGAATGAATTTGTGTAATCTTTTCCGAACCTTGGCCGAGCCCTTGAACCGTTTCTTAAGAGCCGCCAGGCACCCCGCAGCACACCTGCCATCGTCAACGCTAGACCGGGAAGGGACAGTGAAAGGAAGGAATTGGGGGTTTCGAAGCCAAGCACTCTCGAAGAAAAACCGCGAGGAAGCGGGAATATTGGTCGCCGCCTCCACCACCAGGGGAACGTGATCCGAGGTGGGGCGGGGGGGAGATGACAAGGCTGAGTCCGAAAAGGCCGCGTCCCAGGCAGAGTCATAAAAGACTCGGTCCAGGCGAGCCAGAGTTGGGGGGGTCGCGTTTGTTAGTCCAGGTAAAACAACGATCGGACAGAGCCAGCTCATGGAGAGCCAGGGTGTTGATCAGAGAGTTGAAAGTCGCCGCGCGCGGGGCGTCGAACTGATCATTGTTCTTCTCGTGAGGGAACCGAATCAGGTTAAAATCCCCGAGCAGGAGCCACGGCCCCGAGACGGTCTCGGCAACCACAGTGAGATCATCAACGAAGGCAGCCGTCAGGCTATGGTCCGCAGGGGCGTAGACGTTGGTGATCGTGAAAGCGAGGGCGCTAGACGCAGAGGACAAACAAGACGTGAGAGAGAAGCGAGACGTCGAGGAGGAAGTGAGCATCAAGACACGGCTGTCTCAAGCCATCACCACCCCTCCCCATCTGCCATCGGCGTCGTTAGTTACGTAGGAGTCGAGGCGAGAAGGGAGGAACGAGCGAGCTTTAGAATTATTCTACTCCGAAAGCTTGCTTTCCTGAATACAAGCAATGACAGGATCCACCGTGTTGATAGAATCTCGGATCACATCGCACTTGTCGATGTCCCCGAGTCCTTGCACGTTCCAACACAGGAACGAGAACTTAACACAGGGTGAATTATCCATTACAGAACGGGACACCTACAACAGGACTTCTACCACGCAACCGTAGATACATGCTATTAGCAGATGAACAGACGTAGACGGCAGAGCGGGGCAGCACAAACGTTGTAGTATCCCTCCCACGCAACCTAAGGATGCTAGCCACGACGGGGGCGATAGGCGCTACCACGCGACAGACACAGACATGAAGAGGCGCCCTAATCATCAGCACGGGGGGCACCGGGGCGCTCGGGATCGCCGCAGATGCGCGCAGAGCAGCCGCCTCCACGGAGTTCAGCGGCTTGAGGATGCCGTCGAGCATCTTGTCCTTCGCCACTTTGGACTTGAGGCGAGGCGAGCAGCCAGACAGAGCATCGCAGAGAGCTCGGAGACGCATGGCTTTTTCTTCCATACCCATCCATTTGGACAGCTCGTCCCGGGCAATCCGAGCGCTCCGACGGTGCTCGGGGAGGGGCGCGGCTGTCGCTTCAGCAGGCTCCGCGATCTCCACCAGCGACACGCAGGAGCGGTCACTGGACACGGACGCCCGTGCCGGCGAGCCCGAAGACGCGCAGGCAGGCGAGGAGGCCGCGTCAGAAGACGGAGCA